CTTGTTTTCTAATATGAGCAAGACATAACTACTAAATAAGATGCGATTCAGAGTATTAATACTGGAAGCTAATGTGATGTTTTCATAAACATGAAGATTATGTGCAGGACCAGGGACCAGCAGGTGGCGTGGTGGATAAGGCACTGGACATTACCAATGGCTGACTATGGTTTGAGTCCCGGACCTGGTGGCTGGCTTTCTCACTTTTCCTCTCTCTCTTTCTCTCTCTGGTCAAATTAGAATGGGTGAATGAATAAATAAAATTGAATAATTATTGTTTTAAGAAAATAGTTTATATGCAGGAACAATGTACTATTTATCAAGATACCATTGCAAAAGATAAGTACAGTTCACATGTGATTTATACTTTTTTCCTTTTTGGAGAGGTTTATGCTATAGGGCACGTGCACTTGCCAGAAAGACAGACAGAAAGCGATAAATCACCCCCCGGGGGGATGACCACACCGCAATTCCTTCTTCTCCATTCTCCTCTCGAGTTCTTAGGCACGCATGCACTTGTGCCCGACGTGAACCACTGGGTCTAGGACTTGAACCACGGTCAACTACGTGGGAGTCCAGAGACATAGCCAATACACTATCTGCTGGTCCCGTGATTTAAACTTTTGAGTTCTATGAATTATTAGTAGGACATACTTTGTAAGAATGTTAACTGAAAAATGTAGAAATTTTATGCTCTGAGGAAAAAAAATTTTTAAAGTAAATGTAGTATTTGATACCCTTTGGGTGCCATTGGAGTTCTACTTATGTTTTGTAAAGATCTATCGTAGCCTGGACATGTTTAAATATGGCCTTAGATATAAACTATTTCGCAGCAATTATTTCAGCAGAGTTCTTCAATTAGTGGTCTTTATGACTGAACTGTTACAGGCAAATATCTAGGGGAATAGTTATCTGTAGAATTAGCTTCTTGAGAATTTGGGGTGTTGATTTTTGAAGGGTGTTTTATATCAAACATCTGTTTTCAGATTGCTGATTGGGATGATTATATTCTAATAGAGAAACACCAGTAGTTGTGTGGATTTACTTTACTGTGTCTAAAATCACATTGTCTTGGGTAAATGTAACTAGTGAATATAATGAAACAAAGTAAGACTGTGAACACAGTATATAACATTAAAATTTATTTTTTCTTTTTTTTGGAGAGGTTTTTGCTATACAGCACATGCGCTTGCCAGACAGACAGACAGAAAGTGAGAAATCACCCCCGGGGGGGGATGGCCACGCCACATCCCTTCTCCTCCATTCTCCTCTCGGGATCTTGGGCACGCACGCACACGCGCCTGACGTGAGTTTAAGCCACCGGGTCTGGGACTCGAACCACGGTCGACTACGTGGGAGTCCAGCGACATAGCCATTACACTAACTGCTGGTCCCTATAGCATTAAAATTTGACATAATTTTTAAAAAGAAAAAGACATCAGTCACATGTGTATGCATGTCCAAAATCCTGAGAGAAGAAGGGATTGTGGTGAAATTACTGGGGGGTGATTTCTCACTTTTTCTCTCCCTCCCTGCCATGAGTACATGTGCCCTATGGCAAAAACAAGAAAACAAATAAATACTATGGCATCTAATTTATTGTGTTTTTTCCTTTGGGCGGATGTTACATAGGTTCCTTTTTATGCTATGTGACTTAACAACAATATTTTCTGAAACAACTCGAGGGATTTAATTGACCTAAGTCAAGTTGAAAGCAGATTTTCACTTGGATCAAGGAATAACTTTTTGATGGTTAGGCTTACTGAAAATGAAATGACTGCATTCAGAGAAGGCGTTGGTTTCCCACCACTGAATTTACAAGGGCCAGAATCTTCATACGAGGGATTTTGTAGGTTGAACCGGGTGTGCTCACTGGAGAGAGAGAGAGAGACTGAAAAAGCATGTCTCCCCCACCATGTGGCTGGTCATGCTGCAGTCCGTTCTCTTCTATCTCTCCTTTCAGTGTTCTAGACATACATGTACACATCCAGGCATGCTCTCAAGCCATGAGTCCAGAACTTGAGCTACACATCAGCCATATGGGATCCAGCCATCTTAACCATCCTGCCGCAGGTTAGCCCAAACCATGTGCTTCTTAAGGATTTTCCAGTTCCATATTTTCCAATTAAATTATTTCTTCTACAAAGGTGATATGTGTAACAGCTCTTATATACAAAATACAAATGGAACCAGACTTATGGTCTGACGTATGATTTTTTTGACTTTTTGATGATGCAAATGCAATATGCATTCAGTAGAAACTGTATGTGGGTACTTCAAGAAGTTCTTGAAAAGAGGGAATTAAAGTATGAGTTTATTTAGATGCAAAAATAAATTGAAATCCATGCATAGTTTTTTCATAATATGTATTTTACATAAACTATTCAAAGACCTCTCCTACTTCAAGTTCCCATACAACAACTGTCAGCACAGCAGTCAAATTACATGAAATATTCAGTATTTGATTATAAAAAAAGAACCAGCCATGTGGCATAGTAGTTAAGGCACTGGATACCAAATGGCCTACTGTGCAGTTACAGTCCTGGACCCAGCGGCTTGAAAAACACACCAGGAGTATGTGTGTACATGCCCAAAATCTCAAGGGGAGACTGGAGGATAAGGGATTGCATTGTGATCACTTCCCCAGGGGTGCTTTCTCACGTTCCCTCTCTTATGTGCTCTCTCTCTGTCTCTAGTGAGTGCACGAGCTCCATAGCAAACTAAAAAATTATGATAATAAAATAGACTTTGTGTTAGATGATTTCACTCCACTGTAGGTTAGCTCAAGTGTTCTGAGCATGTTTAAGGTAGGCTGGGTTAAGCTGTGATGTGTGAATAAGTTAGGTGTGTTAAATGCATTTCAACTTAAAATATTTTCAACATATGGTGGGATTATGGGAATGTAACCCCATTGTAAGTCAAGATATAGCTGCAATTATCTATTATTATTTTTCCTTTCTTGGCTCCTTTTGTTTGCTTTTTATTGAGGTAAAATAGGTGTACAGAAAAGTGACTGTGTGACTATGTCATAAACATATGCAGATTAGTGACTGTTCACCACCTGACACAGAGATGTACCTGCCCCTAGATGGAGCAGCATTCGTTACTAGCTTTCCAGAAGCGCTTCCATGTGCCCCCTTGCAGTCACAACCTACTTCACCCCAAGAATAATTGCATCTTGCCTTCTAACAGGATAGAGGTTTAGGATGGAGATGCTCAGTTTCTCCGTTGTGTAAATGGGTCATTCTCTTGCATCCAACTTCTTTCTGTGAACTTTATGTTTTGGAGATTCATTCATATCGTTGCAGGTAGAGTATTCATTCATTTCATTGCTATTGTGCTATTATACCAGTATATTAAAATTTACTTATCTGGGGCCAGCAGTGGTGTGGTGGTTGAGTCGCTGGACTCCCACATGGCCAAACACAGTTCGAGTCCCGGACCTGGTAGCTTTCTTTCTCGCTTTCCTTCTCTCCCTCTCTGTACCTCTCTGGTCAGGTTAAAAAATAATAATAAAATTTAATAAATATTTGCAAAAATAGAATTTAAAAAATTATTTATCTGTTTAGGACATATGGGTAGTTTCCAGCTTGCAGCTTTTACAAATAATGTTCTTTTGAGCATCCTGGTTCGTGTCTTCTTGTAGGCATGCATCCGCAGTTCTGTTGGGTGTACGTAGTCAGGGGCAGAACTGCTGTCAGAATGTGCACGTGCTCAGCTAGTCACCAACTGCCACCCAGGTTTCCAAAATGTGTTTGTTCAGGCCCAATTTTAACAAGGTCCTATGTATCCGAAGTGTTAGTTTTTCAGAAATCCCATAAGCCTTTCGTTTATATCTTACTTGTGTTGCTTGATAGTTTTCTGTAATGTACTGCTTATCTCCTTTTCTAGACGGCACACTTCTTGAGGGATTTGTTCTGACTCATCCATGTCCCCAAGTACCTTACACAGTTGCATTGATAGGCCCTAAACTTACTGTTTTTGTATGGATGGATAACTAACTGAGAAAAAAAGGAAATGCATTAATATTAGGAATGTTCATAAACTACGAAAATAAAAGAGTATGCAGAAACTACAAGGGTGATCTTAAAGTGATGGAAAGAATTAATTTATTGGGCCAGCCAGGTGGTGTGGTGGTTAAGATGGTTGGATCCCACATGGCCAAGAGTGTGGTTTGAATCCTGGTACCAGCAGTTTGAAAAACATGCCAGATACTGTGTGTGTGCCCACAATCCTAAGAGGAAAAGGGGTTGTGGTATGGTCATTCTTTCTTGGGGTTGTTTACTTACCCAACTTCTGTCTCTCTCCAGCAAGTGAATGCAACCTACAGCAAATTTTTTAAAAAGAATTTATTAGTATTTTTTCATAAAGTTTCCTGAATCTTATCAGAGAGTATTATGTACTTTTATGTGAGAGAGTTTACTGTAAAGTCGGACTTGGATTTGTAACCACTAGACTTAAAGCCTGGTGCTGTCTCCTTTGTGGAAACATGAGAACAGTACGTAACAGCGTGCTGGGAACTTGAAGGCTGGCGAGAGGGTGCAGGTGAAGAGCGAGGGAAGTTGTATGTTAGCGCAGGTAGGACAGTGTTGTAACTCTAATTGGGCTGCAATCTTTTCCTTTATTTTAAGAATTATTTTATTGAACTTTATTTAATTCATTTATTTATTTACTTTAATTTGGCCAGAGAGAGACAGAGTGAGAGAGAGGGAGAGAGAGAAAGAGGAAAAATGAGATAGCAAGCTGCCAGGTCTGGGACTTGAACTGTGGTCAGCCACGTGAGAGTCCAGTGCTCTTAACCACCATACCACCTGCCAGCTCCATGGGCTGCAGTCTTATCTGTTCCCCCAGATTCTACTAAGGCAAGAAATAATTATTTCAGTTTATAATGGGTAAGGCCAGTAAGCTAGTCAGTGTATACATATTCCTTTTAAAATCAGAAAAACATTTTAACTTACATTGCAAAAATCACTTCCTTTATTATATCTCTTTTATTTCAGTCTTGGCCTGACTATGAGGATATCTTTAAAAAAATGATTGAAGTTGCCACATTTTTAGATTTGCCCCGTTTTCCAGACATAACTGAGGACTGCTATCTTCATCCCAACATCCTGTGTATGAAATACTTAATGGAGGTCAATCTCCCTGGTAAGTATGTGACGTGTACCTAGGAAGCTTTACTAGGATTATAATAGCAATTATAATCTATAGACTGTTCAAATCACAGACTGTTAAGAGCCCCCGAAAGGGCTCATAGTAATCTGAAAATTGATTTCAAAATCCTTTTTTAAAACAACTCAAACCAGAGGCCATTCCCGTAGTATAGTGGTTAAATGCAGTCCCCAGGAGCCAGGTGCCATGGGGCCAACTGCTGTTCCAGTTGGGGCCTGGTGGCTTGAAAACTTTACTAGAAATCCTGATGGGAAGGAGAAATGGAGGAAAAGGAATTATGGTGGACCACACCCCACTGGGGGGCTCTGTCTCTTTCTCTCTTTATTGCCCACACCCTCTGGCAAATTAAAATGAATAAATATATTGGCCTGGCTCGATGGCCTGGTGGTTGTGGTAACTGGTTCCCACATGGCCAACTGTGCAGTTTGAGACTGGAACCCCGTCTCAAACTCCGATTGCTTGTGCACGAGTGCCCAACTCCCAGAGGGAGAGGGGAATGGAGGGGGAGGAATTACAGTGTGGCCATTCTCCTCTCTGTCTCCTGGTAAGCACATGCATCTTTAAGCAAAGAAGAAAGGAAGGAAAGAGAAATCAAATTCAGACCCACTAAAATAATTGAAGGGACATTGTTCAGAAATACAGAGTTCTGCTTTGGTATGAAAAATTTACTCTTGGGAACCAGCAGTTAGCGTAATGGCTATGTCGCTGGACTGCCACGTAGTCGACTGCAGTTCGTGTCCCGGACCCGGTGGCTTAAAACTCACGCTGGGCGCGTGTGCATGCGTGCCCAAGATCCCGAGAGGAGAATGGAGGAGAAGGGGTTGGGAGTAAAGGAACAGCGGGTTCTGTCTGTGTCACTGCTGACCCAGCTCTTCCCCTGTGGAAAAGCAGCACTTCATTTACGGGAAGCATCGTTATTAAATAATGAATTCTGACTTTAAATCCCAGACACTAGTATCTGGTAAATTTTCATTGTTTGACAATGTACATTGTTTCCAATCCCTTAAAAAAAGACAGAGATTAAAGTCTGGCCAGAGCATAGGGAACTCTTCAAGGCAGTGAAACACAGGGCATGAACAGGACCGCTCTTTGCCTCATTCACAGTGTACCGCGACACAGGAGCCCTGATTGGGTCTGCTGATGGGATCCAGGCCTGAATTTCTTGCCAGACTAGAAGTTCTAGATTTTTATTCGTAAGAGAAAATACAAACATAGTGTGGCCATGCCATTACTTGAACAATATATAAAATGCAATCGAATGTTTTTTAATAGGAGAAGAAAATACCTGTTACGTGAAAAAAAGCAATATATACAGTTGTATATCTGTTAACTACTAAAAAATATGTAGTAACAATTATATAGAAATGTAAATATAGTCTATAATATAAAAATATTTCTAAAAACAGGAACAAAAGCAATTTAAAATTTTCAAATATGTTGTTTATAAAGCTAAGGGATTTATGTCTCTTGTTAAGATTGTAGAAGTCCCTAACCATTTCATTTACATTCTAGAATTCAGAAGCTCTCCTTTCTGTATTTCGATATGGTACATAGATCAAAATTGTGGTTTCAGATTTTTTTTTTTTTTAATTCTTGATGGCTTTCTCAGGTATTCAGACATGTATTTCAAAATCTTGAATTTATAGGGACCAGCAGTTAGCGTAATGGCTATGTCACTGGACTCCCATGTAGTCGACTGCAGTTCGCGTCCCGGACCTGGTGGCTTAAAGTCACGCCGGACGCGTGTGTGTGCGTGCTCAAGGAGAACGGAGGAGAAGGGATTGTGGCATGGCCATCCCCCCGGGGGGCAATTTCTCGCTTTCTGTCTCTCTGTCTCTCTCTGTCTGTCTGGCGAGCGCACGCGCCCTGTAGCAAAACCTCTCCAAAATAAATAAATCTTAAATTTATAAAGTGAACACTATGAAAGGAATACTAGGGGTCCAGGGATTACCGGAATGCCGCTGATGCAGTCTGGATAGAGGCAGGCTTTTGTCTCAAATGCGTGTTATTGGACAGGGCGCGGAGTGTGACATTATTTTTTTGGCTGATGTGTTAGTTTGATGGTATATCTTGCCTACCCTTCTTGACAGTAACAAGTAGAATTAAGTCCATTATAATTTGCAGAATACATTATTGTCATTTGATCTTTATTAGTGATTTTTTTTTAGGGGCAGTATTATAAAGAACCAGGGTGGAAATTTTTCATTTTTCAGTCTATTGAATTGGAATAATTTGAAATATAGGAAAAAAACGTTTAAAAAAAAGTATATTGGTTTTTTTTATCTATAATAGCAATACTGAAAATTTAGGAACAACCTAAACAGCCAGCAGAATGGTAATGCTTATGTAAACAGTGGTGTGTATAGTCATCACAGCATTGTGTAGCTTTAGAAATGATGTTTATGAAGAGTTCATAAAAGCATGGAAAATAGTCTTTATAATAAAAAATGAAACAAACCAAATTATAAAATTATGTATATCATGACCACAGCTACGTAAAATGAAAATATTTATTAAAAAATATAATACACAAAAACGTTAAAGTGGCTATTTCTAAGTTATAGTACTACATTTTTTTTCCTTCTATCTTTTCCTTTTTTTTTTTTTTTTAAAGGTTTTTACCATAGGGCACGTGCACTCACTAGAAAGAGACAATGAGAAGGAAAGTGAGAAATCACTCTCAAGGGGGGATAGCTGTGCCATAACCCCTTCTCGCTCATTCTTCTCCTAGAATTTTGGGCACATGCACATACACACTTGGCATGATCTTCAAGCCACCAGGTCCAGTATTCAAGCTGTGGTCAGCCATGTGGGATCCAACCATCTTAACCTTTTTCTTCTATTTTTATATATTTTATAAATGTCTGGTTTTCAGTCTGTATTACTTATTAGTCAGGGGAAAGCAATAAACTATTTTTTTTTTAAAGGTAGATCTCTAAGTTAGGACGTGAAAGTCCCTGGAGCCGGCAGGTGGCGTGGTGGTTAAGCCACGTGGCCGACAGCAGTTTGAGTCCCAGACTTGGTGGCTTGCTTTCTCGCTTTACCCTTCTCTCGCATTCTCTCTCTTTGTCTCTTTGGTCAAATTTTAAAATAATAATAAATAATAATAGCAAATAAAATGTTTTTAAAAGATGTGAAAGTCCCTACCCCTTAGGATTTAGATTCTCAAATGACTGAAATGGTTTGCAAACTTTCTGTGTGTAAGGTTGTAAGAAGAAGAGGTGCTATTTTAAAATGACAGATATTGTTGTCAGCAGTGCTGCGATCAAAAAGAAGAGCTGGGCATGTGGTCTTTTTATTTTATTTTATTTATTTTTTGGAGAGGCTTTTGCTATAGGGCACATGCACTTGCTAGACAGGCAGAGACAGACAGACAGAAAATGAGAAATCACCCCCCAGGGAGGATGACCATGCCGCAATCCCTTCTCCTCCATTCTCCTCTCAGGATCTTGGGCATGCACGCACACACGCCCAAGTGTGAGTTTTAAGCCACTGGGTCTGGGACGCGAACCACAGTCTACTACATGGGAGTCCAGCGACATAGCCATTACGCTAACTGTTGGTCCCATGTGGTCCTTTTATAAAGAGAGGCTTTAGGGTTTCCAGAAAGCTCGGAGTGGTTTTAAGTTTACTAGGGCAACAGGTGTCTGCCTGTGCACAGACCCTGCTCTCACGGGGCTCCCGTGCTGGCGAGGCGAGCCTGCTCGGTTGAGCTCCTGGCACTGTCACAGCCATAGAGATAATTCTGGAGAACTTTGGAGTTTCCAAACTGCCCACAGTGATGCTTTTTCTTTGTGAGAGTGAGAAGAGAGGGCAGGAGAGGGAAACCCCTGACAGATGAGACTGAGGCCCACGACATCCAACTGGCCGGTGGCAGCGCTGGCTCCCACCGCATGCCCAGCTTTCTTTCCACATCGTGCTCCCTTTCAGGATTCTGCACCGTCCCTGCTACTTCCCTCCTAAGTTCTTCCATCTGCTTTTATTATTATTATTCCATTTTTTATTATTATTTTTTAATTTGACCAAACAGACAGAGAGAGAGAGAAAGAAAGGGAAAGTGAAAAAGCAAGCCACCAGGTCCGGGACTCAAACTGCAGTTGGCCATGTGAGAGTCCAGCACCTTTAATCATCACACCACCTGCCGCTGCCCACTGTCTGCTTTTTTGTTGCTCTGTACTTTTGGTGTAAGAGGAACAGTTCAAGATACTAATTTTAAAAGTTAACTTTTCCCTATTTTGAGTGTACATATTTAATTGAAAGAATCCTATCTATTACTCGATTTTCTGGTTTTTTCCTTTGTAACAAAGTCTTATACATAGTAGGCATTCAGTAATGCTTGTTGGATTGAGCTTAATTTTATAATTTTTTTAGAGATATTTTTGCTATAAGGTGTACACACTTGGCAGAGAGGCAGAGAGAGATAGAGACAGAAAGAGAAAAAACATGCCCAGTGGGAATGGCCATGCCATAATCCCTTCTCCTTGACTCTTCACTTGGGATCTTGGTTACATACACGCAAGTGCCTGGTGTGAGTTTTTAGCTGCCGGGTCCGAGACTTGAACCACAGTCAACTACATGGGAGTCCAGCAACGTAACCATTACACTGTCTGCTGGTCCCACTTAATTTTATAATTTTAATCTCCTAATATTTTTGTATTCAAATAAAGTCTCTGAGAAAATTTAGAGGGATTTATAAATTGAAATGACCTAGACAGTAGTGTCCACATTCTTCACTGGAGACCTTCCTGATCTGGCCCTGCCTGCTCCCATTCAGCTCTGAAGTCTTGTCAGATGGTTTGCATTTCCTGAGCACCATCTCAGACTGTGGTCCTGATCATATTGCGTTCTCCCTTCTGACATGTCCCCAACAGTCACTCTTGGAGAAGGACTGTGTCTTCTTCTCAAGTACCCAGACTATAGTTGTTCAATAAATGTCTTTTTTGAAAGAAAGAGTAAATGCCAACCAAAACCTGTAGCTATATTATTAGAATCCAGTAGATGCATAAAAATATTTTATGACATATTTTTTAAAAATTTTATATACTTTTATTTCTATATGAACAAAGCTTATTTAATCAGTGATTTATTTAAACATTTCTAGAGAGATTAGTCTTATGTTTCATTCATTCTTTACTATAAATGTGTATTGGGTCGTCGGAAAAGTCATGACACATTTTTGCACAGAAAAATCGTTAGTACTAATGGGTAGATTGCTACTGTTGGGAAGACAAATGAAACAAGACTGAGTTGCCCTCGTGTTCAGGAGGGAGGCGAAGTCGTGACGAGTGCTGGGGGAGCTGCTTTAGCAGGCAGAGGGCTGAGCAAGGACGACTCCTGGCTTCGCTCCAGTGTTCTTAGAGCTGGCGGGTAGAGGCGCCAGCAGGAGGCGTGGTGGGTAAGGCGCTGGACTCTCACTGTGTTGGAGTCCTCAGACTTGGCAACTTGCTTTCTCACTCTCCTTCTTTCTGTGTGTCTCTCTGGTGAGTGTGCATGCCCTACAGCAAATTAAAATAATAATAACAATGATAAAATTAAATGATAATTTTTTAAAAAAAGGAAAAGAAATGACTGGCAGAACTGAATTCTGCAAGGTGGGTGACAGCCCAGCAGAGTTTGAGATGAGGAATGGAGGAAGGCAGTGCTTTCTAGACAGAGGGACAGGAGTAACTGTGCAAAGCAGAAGGCACATGAGAAGGCCTGTTTGGGGAGCTATAAAGTTTGTTGAGGCTGGGAATGCTAAGTTTCAATGGGTTCATGAGAGCAGAGGAATGAGATGATGGGTCCAAAGGGTGAGACCGTAGGAGGAGCTGCCAGTTACGAAGGTGAGCCAAGGGGCAGACAGTGGAGGAGGAGGACAGGGAATGGATTTGAGAGCTGTCAGCACCAGTGAAGGTGTTTAGGTACATTTGTTTACCTGACCATCACAGTAACTGTGAAGGAGGTATTACCGTTCTCCTATTTTATACAGATGGAAAAAATAGAACAAACGGAGGCACACAGAGGCCCTGTACTGCGTCCAAGGTCACAGTGCCAGTAGTGGTGGAGCAGGGACCCAGTCCAGGTTCCATCGTCTACTCTTTCTTTTTTTTTAAGAATATTATATTTAACTTTATTTATTTATTTATTTACTTACTTACTTATTTTAATTGACCAGAGAGGGACAGAATGAGAGAGAGAGAAGGAAAGTGAGAAGGCAAGCTGTCAGGTCCGGGACTCAAACTGCAGTCAGCCACATGGAGTCCAGCACCCTTAACCCCCACGCTACCTGCCGGCCCCTCCATAGTCCACTCTTAACCACTGTCCGGATGCCCCATGGAGAGAATGGAGTGAGTGCCAGCTGCGTGCGTGGAGGCAGTTCAGTTCAGTTCAATTCTGTGCATGTTTGTTATGCTCTTGTAAGTAATTGTCATGGTACTCGAATTAATTAGGATGTGGTGCATCTTAGGTACCTAGATTACTGAGTAAAGAAATTCGGTTAGTAACTCAGTCTTCAAAGTATATTCTTTCATACTATCTTATTTCATCTCAGTTTACCCTCATCATAACCCATTTTACAAGTGAAGAAACTGAGGTTAAGTGACACTCATCCGGAGTCACAAAGCTAATGATTGGAACGCCTAAATATAGGCCCTAGGTTTTCTGGTTCCAGGTCCCACATTATTCAGCCTTGAGTAATAGGTGCAGTCTGTGCTGAGCATGTAATTTTTCCGGAAAGCAGTACCTCTAGTTAAGCATGCTGAGGGCTTCCGGGTGCTCACCAGCCCCAGCCAACTTGAGCACGTCCCGTGGAAGCTTTCCGCTTCCCAGGGCGTCAGTTTCAGGTGCTCACGCGCTCTGTAGGAGCAGGCTGGGACAGGTGGTCTGGAGCACTGCCTGCGGCTGGCTGCGGGACACCAAGGCGCATCCCACAAACGGGCCGTGTTTAGGAATTCAGATAGGAAGAGTTAAGCCTTGCCAAGAGTCTACCGTTTGTTTTCTGTACAGACATAATTTTTTCGTTTATTTTATTCACAAAATGTGTGTCTTCAGGCTGTAGCATAGCCTCATATTTTCAGGTGAGGGCATACACATTCTGTGGTACAGTTCGCCACAGTTTAATTCACATTTTACTTTTTGTTCTTCAACAGATGAAATGCACAGTTTCACCTGCCAAGTGGTGAAGCTGACTGGAGTCGGAGACGTGGATTTCCTGACATTTGACCCGATAGCTAGAACAGCAAAGACAGTTAAATACGATGTACAAGCCGTGGCCGTCATCGTAGTGGTATTGAAAGTGCTCTTTCTGTTGGATGACAACTTCGAATGGTGAGTGTATATTTTGTGACAAATACCACTTTATTATGCTGTTGCCAGGTTTTTTTTTTTTTTAAGGAAAAATATTGTATTGTTTTTCCCTAATTATTTGAAGTAAAGAAATTTATATGTTACCTCAATAGAAAATGGCGGCCCTGTTGTTCCAGAACACTGACTAATGGTAACGCTCCTCCATAACTCCCTGACTCAGCCGTTTGATCATGTTCTACTCCTGTTATCCATTCATTGCGCCACTCGCCGATTCCTGAGTTTTACTGTAACATCATAAATCCTGAAGAACCATCTAGTGCTTTTGCTACATGCCTCTGGGCCCCTGGCACCACGTAGCTCCAAGAGATTATTTTAGAAAGTAAAGGAATCTTCAAGTGTCAACTCTCCCAAATGCCAGCAAGGAATAACAATGTTTTAGTGTCTTCTCTTTCTCAGCCACTGCTTCTCCATTAAATTTTGGCACCATTTTCAAGTACTGTTCTATATTTTCCTCTCTGAAGAATTTAAAATTTAACTGCCCAAATGCATGATTTCTAAAAAACAAATCAACTTGTTTTTATTATTGTCAGGTCTTTGTCAAATCTTGCTGAAAAATATAATGAAGAGAACAAAGAAGGTACTTAATTTTTTATCAGTCAAATTCAAAATGATTATAAATGATGGATTAAAAGATAAAATAAATGTAAGGGGAAAACTTGAAAAATATGCATGTACACAAATGATACCTTTTACCAGTGTTATTTTCTCATGTAATTATCCATTTATATTTCTAGACTAATAAAGACACCTTAGTGACTGCCGGCTGTGTCTCTAAACCAGAGTGCTTTTTGTTCCCACCTTCTGCACACTAGCCCCTCTAGACCATGGCGAACCTACCGGCCACTCTGAGACTGTCCTGTCGAGTCTCATACCTTCAGCCTTGGTTCTTGCTGTTCTCCCATCTGAAATGTTTTTTCCTTCTTACTCCTGACTCCCGTTGAGACCCCGTCAAATCCCTCTTCATTCTTCAAGAGACAGCGTAAATTCCACTCTCCTACCTGTTCTTCACACCCACGGACTTCACCTCTTCCCAAATCAGAACTGTGACTCCCGTCCAGACTTACATGTTTACCACACTGGGTTCTGGCTAACGGCCCAGCTGTCTTTCCCTCTTAGTGTCAGTCTTCGTGGAGTGCTTACCATTAGTGCTCTGCAAGTGGTAGACAGGTAGGTAGATTGTGAGCTTTTATAAGGAAGGATCATATCTTACTTTTTCTTTTCTTTTTTTTTGGAGAGGTTTTTGCTATAGGGCACGTGCGCTCTCCAGAAAGACAGAGAGAGACAGAAAGTGAGAAATCACCCCCAGGGAGGATGGCCACGCTGCAATCCCTTCTCCTCTATTCTCCTCTTGGGATCTTGGGCACGCATGCACACGCATCCAGCGTGAGTTTAAGCCACCGGGTCCAGGATTCAAACCATGGTCGACTACATGGAGTCCAGTGACATAGCCATTACACCAACTGCTGGTCCCATATCTTTTTTTTTTTTTTAATATGCTTAATGTCTAATTTAGTGACTAGTATAAGAACAGCTCCATGAAGCTTGGTGAATATTGGAATCCTCACTTCAGTTTTTTTTTTTTAAGAATTATTTTATTGAAACTTTATTTTATTTACTCACTCATTTATTTATATTAATTTGACCAGACAGGGACAGAGTGAGAGAGAGAGGAAAAGTGAGAAAGCAAGCCACCAGGTCCGGGACTCGAGCCACGGTCGGCCATGTGGGAGTCCAGAGCTCTTAGCTACCACACCACCTGCCGGCTCCTCAGTTCAGTTTCTTAATGTTCTCACTAGGACTTTATATTCCTTGGTTTTAGGAACTTGAGTTTAATGGTATTAATTAGTTGGTGTGTTCTTTCCAGAATATGTGCAAAATAAAATACTTGCCTGTAGATTGGTTGTGTTGGTGTCTACACAGAGTGGAAGACTGAACTGGGTGTCTTATAATGTTCTCTCTAAAGGAGTATAGAAGACCGTGTAGACATTGAACTTTGGAGATGATTTGGCTTGCTCGAGGTCAGAGAACCTTGTTTTCCTCTATTCTTACCATCCATTTGGTAGTTTCCTCTTCTCCGTGGCTATACGGCCTACAAGGTTGCTTGAACTATGTGTTAATTATATTGGCCAGTGGAGAGATTCTAACTAGGCAGTGAGAGAGACTATCTTTTTTTTGAGAGAGAGATTTTTGCTATAGGGTGCATGCACTCACCAGAGAGACAGAAAACAAGAAATCACCCTGGTGGAGTGGGGGGAATGGACATACTGCAATCCCTTCTCCTCCATTCTCCTCTCGGGATTTTGGGCATGCACGCATACACACCTGGCATGAGTTTTAAGCTGCTGGGTCCAGGACTCAAACCCTGGTCAACTATGTAGGAGTCTAGCAACATAACCATTACACCATCTGCTAGTCCCAAGAGAGACTATCTTCATCAGAGAATAATCCCCAGATGGATTGAGTAAGAGTGAGGAGTGAATTTTTACAAAAACTCAACTGCAACTAATTCTGTTGTCTCTCCAGTCGCACTATCTTGAACACACACACACTATCTGTCTGCTGCAATCCACCTCCTTATCTGTAGGTCCTTTGAATTAGAGAGAGAAAGAACAGCAATAGGAGCTGATGAAACTAGAAATCTAGATTCAGCTCCTATGGCACCATCTCACACACTTTTTAGTCATCTGTTCCTTAATTCATGTGTTTGCCAGACCTACTGGACCGCTACTATATGCCATACCCTGCTGATGCTCCAGTATGGGGAGGAGGGAGCTTGATAGCTTAGGGACAAACAGAATATGTCCTCTCTTCTCAAGGAGCTCATAATCGAGTTCTGAAAGAACAGACTTTGAAAAGATGCTTTTGGTGGGGAACCAGCAGTTAGCGTAATGGCTATGTCGCTGGATTCCCATGTAGTCGACCGCGGTTCGTGTCCCGGACCCGGTGGCTTAAAACTCACGCCGGGCGCGTGTGCGTGCGTGCCCAAGATCCCGAGAGGAGAATGGAGGAGAAGGGATTGCGGCGTGACCATCCCCCCTGGGGGGTGATTTCTCGCTTTCTGTCTCTATGTCTCTCTCTGTCTGTCTGGCGAGCGCACGCGCCCTACAGTGAAAATCTCTCCAAAAAAAA